ATGGATTTAAGTTCATACAACATTATATATATATACATATATATATATATACACACATATATATATATGTACATATGTGTCTATGTATATTAGATTTTTTTTTATTTATATCTGAAAGAATATTAAATGGTAGAATATTCAATAGTTCTTTTGTTAGATATGGTAGATATGAAATATACCTTTTGTTAGATATTATGAAGTATACCTTTGTAAATTTCAAATTTTCCCTAAGACCAAGTTCTTTCGGTGTGTGTGTTAATGCATAAGTTTATGAAATGAGTTATATGATATTATGTATCTTTTAACATTTGTTTAATAAATGTATTATATTTCTAAAGCAAGTTGCTGACTTGATTGGTGCTGAGGCTAAAGATATCATTTTCACAAGTGGTGCTACTGAGTGCAATAATATTGCAATCAAAGGGGTTGCTCATTTTTATCAAGAAAAGAAGAAACATATTATAACCACACATATAGTAAGTTGAGAAGTATTCTGATACTTATGAGTGTTTAATTTTTTAGTCACTTTTTATGTTAAATTATTTATATAAGCAATATTAAAGTACTTCTAAAAGGGGTGAATGAATTTCTTTCTTTCCTTTCATTCCTGAGGCAAAAGTTAGTGATTATCTGATATTTTCACTTTGCTGTAAATAAAACAAAAGTAATGTTAGAAAATGAGAAAAACAAATATATGTAGAGATATTATGCATTTCTTTATTAAATTTATAGAAATAGATGTTGTACTAATGATTGTTTTCTTAGGGCAAAAGTATTTATAGCAACTGTTTTTGTTTAATTTTTCATGCAAATTCATCAGAATAGAAAAAAAAAAATAGGAAAAAAAGGAAAAAAAAAATTATAACAGCATTTTATTTGCAGCACGTGCATATTTTTCAATCCCATCAAATGGATAATGCATAAGAAATTGTTGAAAGAATGTGATAGAGACATGACAGTTATTTGAGGTATATCAACATCATTAGTTCAGCCTTTAGATGTGTATATCAATAAAAATTTTAAATGACAACCTGTACAGTGGTGGCCAAAATTGTGGACACTTTTGGAAATTTTAGTTTTGACTTTTAATACTTATATAAACGTTACGTTTCACAAACGCAACTGTTATATCATTTAAAGAGTTTTTATGATTCATAGAACAAATTCAATTTTGCCAACAGAAATGTTAACGATAATATTTACGTATCATTAATAGTGATGATGCAGGGTTATCATACTTATTGGGTACCCTATTTTTATTACAGCTTCCATCGAGTTTATGCGCTGCAAGAGTTTTAAGCTCTTCTTTCGTTATACATATGCCAGGAAACAAGAAGCCTCACTTAGTCCCTTTTTTGATGGGCCTCTTCGACAAAAGTTTTCACGCATGCCACAAATTTTCGATAGGATGAGGTGGACGTTTGCGGCCATGCACAATTAATGCTCTTTGTACAAACCCTATTCGATATTTGCGTGTGGCAAGGACAGATCCTGAAAATAGCGACATTGTTGGAAAGAGATCTATGAAGGTGAATTTTTGGTTCTAGAATAGTGTCAATCATTTTGATTCAGTCCCCTCATGACATGAAGGCGACCAACCCCATCTTGCTGACGCAGACCACGTAACACTAACTGGGGTTTCAATTGCTTGAATGCAGTCAGGATATCGTTCTCCTATTCTACGCTACATATTTCACCCATATACCGAATACGGATCTTAGTTTCATCACTCCATATAACTGTAATCTGATCATCTGTCCAATTTGTTCCTTTTTCCACGTAGTTTTTTTTCGTTGCTGAAAATTAAGATAAGGCTTTTTTCATGGAATTCGACCTCTCAGTCCAACACGTTAATTTCTCCTGATTGTTCTTGAACGACAGAAACACCAGCATCATTCAGATCAATTCTGATGGCCGCTGATGACAGTTTTCTATATTGGAGACTAGTCCTTTTATTTTTTGTCATCAATAGATGTGGTGCACCTTTCCGGCCTTTTTCCTTCTTGTTTTTTATTTAATTTGTCCCTGATATCGTAAACAAAACTTTCGGACTCCAGATGTAGTCATTGAATCACCCAACTTTCTTGCAATTTCAGCATAGGAAAGGCCTCTTTCTCGTAACACAATATTACATCTCTTTCTAGTTGTCTAATCTACTCTTTTATTTGATGTCATTGCTTCTTGACTAGATATTAAATATTTTTACAAAAATTCCTATTTGTAATTGCAGTGGAGAACTGCAATTGTAACATGTAACAATGAACAATGTAACTGCAGAAGGAGAGGTCCTCCTTCTGCAGAACAAAGCAAAAGAATGAATTGTTTCAGTGTAAACATGATATCAGCTTCTACTGGCAGTTTACTAACATTTGATTGGTTCTCAGAACAAGAACAGAGATTGGCCAGGAACTAGACTTACAAACCACTTCATACTGGTTTTTTATTTATATAAAGTACATATAACTTTTTTTGTATTGCAAATCATTAATTTGTGTTTTGTATTGAATTCAGTAATAAATTATCTTTAAAATGATATATACAAGTTTGCATTTTGCAAAACGTAATATTTTCTATAAGCATACAAATTTCAAAAACATAAAAATTTCCAAAAGTGTTCACAATTTTGGCCACCACTGTATGTTAGAAGGTGAAAAAACATTTACAGAAGGAGACCAGTTGCGTCATGCCAGTCTAGAAATAGTGTATGAGTGGATAATAAAAGCCTAGAATGAAATATCATTTATTTATTTGTTTGACTGAGGAAGGATTAAAATTTGAAATTTGCCATCAGTAGAAAAAAATGTATCATTTTTAGAAACATATACCATATAACTGGAAAAGCAATATAAAAATGGCTAATATTGCAACACTTGAAATTGAGTAAAAAGTGACAATGAACTATTTCTAATTTTCTTTTCCTTTCTTCCTCTCTTTCTTTTTTTTTACCACTTGCCAACCTATATACATTGGCAAAGGAAGCAATATTTTCAGTCAAAAATTCAGTTTTCAGAAAATAAGCATGAGTCTCTACATGTTTTTACTATTTTTAAAAGGATGTCTTTATATGTCTGTCTATGTGTGGCAATTTTTTCTTCCATTATATCTTATACCAAACTTCAAAAATATCTGTTTCCCATGTTTAAGCTTTCTGCATTCATGTAAACTGTTGATTAAATGTGGGGTAAAATTGGAAAACTGAAATTGGTACTGTATTCAAAACCCATAGCAGTTTTTAATGGGCAACTAGAAGTGATACTTTACTTAAGCCTATAAGAAAAATTATATAATATAGTATAAGTGAATAATTGTATATATACATAGTATAAGTATATAATATAGTGAAATATTGTAATAAAATATAATTTAAAACTTTTCAAGTTTAGAATATAATATCAATGGAAACAGCATATTAGATTTTGATTAAAATTGATAAAACTCAAGTGATACTTTACTTGAAGCTGCGAATAGATTTTCGTGGAAAAATATGTTATGATTTAATTCAAAATTTCTCAGATTCGGCATTTAAAATTCACATACGAACATATGATGCATAGGCAGTCATAAATGAAAATTACCTATTAGTTTTGACTGTATATGATAACCCAAAAGTCATACTTTATTTCGAATTCTTTGCAGATTTTTTGGAAAAATATATAATCACTATAATAAGAGTTTAATGTAATATAATGCATCACATATTAAGTTATGAGACATGATATTTATTTATATCAAGTCATAGAAAAAAACTTTTATATCAGCATTTTATTTGCAGCATGTGCATATTTTTCAATCCCATCAAATGAATAATGTAAAGAAATTGTTGAAAGAATGTGATAGAGACATGACAGTTATTTGAGGTATATGAATACCATTAGTTCAGCCTTTAGATGTGTATATCAATAAAAATTTTAAATGATAATGTGTTTGTTAGAAGGTGAAAAAACATTTACAGAAGGAGACCAGTTGCATCTTGCCAGTCTAGAAATAGTGTATGAGTGGATAATAAAAGCCTAGAATGGAATTAAACCCATTTAAGTTCAAAAGTCATTAAAAATATGGGATATCTAATAATCTAGATGGAATGGAAGATGATTATTTATGAATCAGAATAACAGTGATGGTAAAAATAAAACAGAATTCTATGATGTGCCTGAAGATATAATGGAAGACAAATATGACAAACCTTTCATGTTATCTGATAATTAAAATTTTTAAATTCATTAGCTATATCATTTCTATTAAATAAGCAGCATTTAGGTAGGTACATGTAGAAATATAATTTTTATGCTTATCTTTCCTTTATTTTTAAATCTATAATTTTTATATCTGCCATATAATGCTAATTTACACTAGTAAATTTCAATCTTATTTTTTGTATTAAGTGTGAACATTATACATCAAAATACTTGATAAGTGCTTTAATGCATTTGATTTATTTATACTTAATTAATTTTTGTGCAGGAACATAAATGTGTCCTAGATTCTTGTCGTTTTTTAAATGCTGAAGGATTTGATGTTACTTACCTCCCAGTTCAACAGAATGGCATTCTAAGATTAGAGGTATGTGAGAACTTTGAAAAAAATTTATTTTAAGATAAAGATAAAATTAGCAAACAGATTGGAATGAGGACATGATTGATGCATGTAAAGTATATGATTGTTGATTAGATATTGTTTGATTAGACATTGTTTGATTGATGCATGTAAAGAATATGATTGTTGATTAGGTATTGTTTGTAAAGATACAACTTCTAATTTCATTCAAAAAACGTTTATTGCATGTCCCAGGACATATTCCTTATGATCTGAATATTATAAAAACAAACTGTAAAACAGTTTTTGGACAAATCCAGACAGTATTTTCAGTGAAATACAGATCTTTGTGATTGGATTTTTTTAATTGTTAAAAGAAATTTATTATTGGTATATTTAAGTATTCTTTTGTATGTTTTTAAATATTTTTACTTATACTTTATGCAAGTATTATGTATGTGTGCATGATATTTTATTTTATTTGTGTCTTAAGGATCTAGAAGCAGCTATTCGTCCTGACACATCTTTAGTTTCTGTGATGGCTGTCAATAATGAAATTGGGGTGAAGCAACCTATTAAAGAAATTGGTAAATTGCATGCCTCCCCCCCTTCTTTTTAAAAATAAGTTTTCTAAATTGATTGTTAATGAGCATACTTTTAATTTTCTTAGAAAATATTTAAATTTCATTTAAAAATTTTTAGCTTTATTAATAATGTAACAAATATAAGAAGATAAGTTATTTTTATCTTAATGTATGAAAAATAATGATTTATTTTGAGTAAAATGAGCAAACAGAGTTTTCTTTTTAATTTAGGTGCTCTCTGTCGGGAGAAGAAAGTATTTTTTCATACTGACGCAGCACAAGCTGTTGGAAAAATTCCTATGGATGTTAATGATATGAATATCGATTTGATGTCTATTAGTGGCCACAAAATATATGGTCCAAAAGGTAATGGAGTTACAGTCATTGTTCTTTAAAGCTTTAATATAAATATAAATATACCTATCATAAAATATATCGTAAATATAACCTTTTGTGAATATAGTTATTCTCATCAAGCAGCTGAATGCCTATTTCTTGGGTGGCAAAAATTCTCTTCTGTTGATCATTCAAATGCTTTTCTGTTAACTAGTTATTTCATTTTCAAAGCAACAATCGGTAGCTTTGAATGCTTATATACTGGACAATTTACTCAAAGTTTCTGTTCTGTGAACTGTATTCTAATTTGTTCTGTAATACAATAAAATTTCAATAATCTGTAAATGCTTAATCCATGAATGCCTGTAATCTGTGCATGCTTTTGGATATAAACAAATAAAATAAAAATCCAATGTGGCCACATATTTATTGCCAGTTTTGTTATATGTATATGAAATTATTTTTTTAACAAAAATACACTATAACATAGTTGCAGAAGCAAGTTTATTAATGAAGTTATTTAACTTTTTTTGCACATACAGTACTTCTTTTTATTTGTTTATTTAATTTTGTTGTTGTTATTATTACACAGAGATTGGATTGTGATTTTGCACAAATTTTTTATTTTAAATGAGTCTCTAAGTTTGGAAATTCAGTAGTTTTTTGTAACTTGGCCTGGAAAACATTTTTCTAGCTAAGATCTAGTTTGTATGCAAATCAGTTCAGTTATTTAGCATTCATACTGTCAAATCAATGTTGCACAGGCAGAATTTTATAGGTGGATGAAAGTCCGTGTTGAAACAAAAGTGAACGTGAACTTGATTGTTGCCGAAATGTTATCATTCTCGAGTATTATCATAAAATAACCAAATAAGCTAATAAGTTCACAATTGCCATCCATTGATTGGAGCATAGCCTAACCTGAAATGAAGCTTTGTTAATAAGTTTTTATAAATTATATTATTATTTAATTGCTATGGCTTAAACATTAGCCTTCCCATAAATTGGTTGATTGCTTTCCATCAAGTATTTTCCACATCTACATTTTTTTTTTTTATCTGACTGTTAGAAGTGCATCAAAGTTTGTCATTTCATAAGGTATGTCATGTCTTCCAAAGATGATTGACATAAAACTCGGTAATGCATTAAACATTGTTTGGCATTATTTGAATTAAATTTAAAATTACAGTCATGTTACGGCTGATACATAAAGCCAGATGTTAAGAGCTATTCATGAACTAGTGTGTTACTAATATTTCTTCAGAAACATTTTGGAATTCATTGAAAATTGTTGCTGCCAATGATGTTTAATTCTACAGGGTATATGAAGGGGAAAATGAAGAACACATGTATGAAAGTAATGTGTTTATTGCATTGTGGTTTACATAGCCAGAAAGAAGTACCCAAAAGTTTTAGTAAATTTTTTATTAAGTGTAGCTCATGCTATTTTTAAGCTACATTTCATTTCATCCATTAAAAAGAATCACTGTTGTGACTTAGTCTGTTGTTTCTTTAATTTGGATGAAGAGGTCAAGTCTGTTCCATATCAGTCATTATGACAAACAAAACTTTTAAATTTCTTCTTTACAACTATGTAAACCACAGTGCAATAAATAGATGGATTTTAGATGTATATGTTTTTTTCCCCAATCCCTTCTTTCCTGAATACATTACATTTCTGCACTCTGTTAAACATTTAGTGATCAGTCAACAATTATATTTAACCAGGTTGCGAAGGAACTGTGGTCATCCCCCCTTTTTTTCATTTCCTAGCAACATGATTTGTGGTGGAATAGGTTAATACTAAAAGCAAATGGATTTTATATAGTAGGACCCATTTACTTAATCCCATTTTTAAAAATCATGTAGGTTCTCCATGCCAAGCCACTGTATCAGCTGTGTAATAGGATCTGAAAAATTGCTTATGTTTTTTTTTTTTATTATTTATTTTTATTTTTTATGTTCGTATGAAGTTGTACTGTGTTGTATATGAACTTGAACTTAATTGCATGATTTGTGGTGGAATAGGTTAATACTGAAAGCAAATGGATTTTATATAGTAGGACCCACTTACCTAATCCCATTTTTAAAAATCATGTAGGTTCTAAATGCCAAGCTACTGTATCAGCTGTGTAATAGGATTTGAAAATTGCTTATGTTTTGTTTTTATGCTCATAGAAGTTTTACTGTGTTGTATATGAACTTGAACTTGATTGTTACCAAAATGTTATCATTCTCAAGTATTATCATAAAATCCATTGTCCAAAATAGGTGTCCAGATTTTATTTATTTATTATGAAATATTTGTCAATGCATCAGGAATTTTTCCTATTTTACTGTAGTATATAGGTGCATGTGTCTTTTATCTTTTGATTTAATAAATAAAAACATACTATTCATGCATTCTTGATTATATTTGAGTGGCTTAGAAGCAAGATCAATAGTGTCTGTTATCCATAAGATGCTTTTGCTGAAATTTTTATGTTCAGAGTTCATGCAGACTCATGAACATGTTATGAACTTGTTGCAAAACATCTGTGTTACACCATTTTGTTTCAGAGTATTTAATTAGCATGATTATGATATTTTATTATCATGATTATGTTTTAGGTGTTGGGGCTTTATATGTAAGAAGGAGACCGCGGGTCAGAATACAACCTATTCAGAGTGGTGGTGGACAAGAAAGAGGAATGCGCAGTGGTACGGTACCTACTCCATTAGTTGTAGGTTTAGGAGCTGCATGTGAAATTTCGAAAAGGGAAATGGAAGTAAGTTTCCATTAAGATGTATTCTATTACTGTTTGCTATATTTGAATTAAACATTTTTTGTTTTAATAGATATGTGGTTCATTTACTCTTAGAGTTAGTCAGTGTCCTGTAAATGTCAAAATGCATCTTATTGATATTGTATATAGTAATAAATTTGTTATATGCAATAAATAAATAAATCAAAAGCTGTTATATTAAGTACCAAAATGAAGCTAGAATTTCATCCTTAGACCATGTGAGTACGATATTAGTTTATTTTAATAACCAGCTTTTGGAGGTGATAAAATTATTGATTTTAAAGCTTCATACTGATTATGTATCATTTCAGAAATTTATCTGTAGTGATCATTCATATCAATTTTTTTAATTATTGTGATTAAAAGTTTTATTTCAAAATTGAATTATATGGATTTAACATTAAAATAACCATTTCTTAAAAATGCCAGATTGAAACTAAGTGTATATGTAATGTTAATTCTAATATTAAATTCTGATTTTATCATATAACAGGAAGAGTCATTAGTTCAGTATTTTAATATTAGGAATTCTAAATTGGGCACAATCACATTTTATGACATCTAAAATAACTCCTTGCTATGTTGTTTGCTGTAATTTTCCTGTAATGCAGGAAATGGATTTTACCGGAGCTAAATGCTGAAATATTTTATCTGTGCATATTTTATCATTCATATTGGTCAATGATATTTTGATTATCGCTTAGTAGAAGTTGCAGGCATAAGTAATGGAAGAAAAAATTTGTATTGTTTTCCAATAAATGATTTGAAAGAATTGCTGCTAACCTCTGTTTATAAATTTTTAATTAACTATTAAGATATCAAGGTATCAACTTTATAAGATATCAAGGTAAGCACATAATAATGTATGGTTTGTAAGCAACACAATCAAGCACTATAACATAGATCACAAGAAAAACATTCAAGTATAAAATTATCAATGATACTCCTTAGTATAGTATTTTTAATTGAAATTAATAATTATCAGTAGTATTATCAATGATTAGTGTCAACTAAGAGTAGTAGACTCGTTTAAGCTTGATAACAAGTATCTTTAATGTTCAGGTTTGAATCTGTTTTACACTTGTCCCCCATTTTAAATCACTTAGCTGTATTAAAATATTTTGAATTGGTTATGAAATATTTAATTATTATTTTGAAGCAAAAGAAGGAAGTCAAATAGCATGAAGGGCAATTTTTACATAAGTGAAAACTTTGTAAAAGCGTATAAAAATATTCTCATAGAAATTTCTGTGAAGTGTTTATTATTATCCAAAATGGAGGCAAGAATAAAGGGAGGGGCCAACCCCACACTATGACTGAAGCAGTGCTCCCAGGCTTAGTAGGTCTCCAGATGAAGTTTTTTTTTTTTTTTTTTTTTCTTGTTTACATCCAGGGTTTCCTTGACAGTGCATTGATAGTATTTTTACACACGAGTGTTTCATACAAATCAAAAAGCTGGACACTTCTGCATAAAAGAAACATACATTGTTGGATATATGATAGCAAATTTGTATAGTTTAGTGACATTTATGCAAAAATCACGTCTTGGGTATTTTTTGATAACTTGCAACAGCGATTTTGATAATGAATTTCTTTAATAAAATTCTAAGCTGTTGGACCACAAAAATATAGATTTTAGCAAAAAATTTTATACATAAAGAATGAAAAATACCTAAGGTATCTTTAAAATTGTATACGTCTTTCAATACACTTGGTAGAGTATTCGCTACTTTTATTTTATGTTTCAAACACCAGAATGTTTTAAATAAAATACATTTTTTGTAAATTATTTTACTCGAAAAATATAGTGAATGCAAAGAAATTAAAGATTTGCACATGCCGAAAATGAAAAATATATAGGTATATGCATGTATTTGCCTTGTATGTATGTATCTAAGAAAATATGTAAATATTTATTAAATTATTTGGAAATGGAGGATTTATTCATTCATAAACTCCTGTGAAAGTTACTGTGAAGAATCTATATATAATATTAAATATATCTAAATTTATAATGATTATAAATATTACCTAAATATATAATAACCTTAACATTTAATTATAACCATAAATTGAAATTATGTTGACAAGTACGATTATAGAAGTATTTCAGCAAAAATTGTTCGTACTGGAAAGTAATCTGTTAAGAGGTATTGTAAAGCAAAATCTATGAGATGCATATTTAAGGAAGTAGTAAAGAAGAGTTTTTAGAATATGTATTGTTGAAATTAAGGGTAAAAAAAGAATCTGATAAGTATAAAAAGAATTATTTCCTTACACTTTATAATTACTCAGTTACAAGTTTTAAATAATATTTATAAAAAATTCTTTTTTTTTTTTTTATTTCCTTTCTGAAATATTATAGTAAGTTAAGTATATGGAAATCAGTATCAATATTTAACATATTTCACTATCAAAATAAAAGGTGCTCTAATTTGAAATGAACCGAATAGAGCATTAATTATAAATTGATTTAAAAGATGCCTCAGAAGCTTAAAAAATCATTCATATTTGAGAAAGTAGTTTAGGAAGAATCTGTGTAAATAGAAAATAAATAATGCATAATTTTAATATTAATATTACTTATATTAATAATACTTATATTTTAATATTAATAACTTTGATCTTATTTTTTGCAATCTTTAGACAAAAAATCGAATTACCTTAAAAGTTTTTCTAATGTAATTAACAAAAACTTGTGAAAATAGTTACTTTAAATTAGTAGCATTTAATTCTGTTCAGAATGAAATACTGTTTAAAAATGTATTTTTTTCACATACTTAGGACTCTGTAAAAAAAGAAAATGTATATATTTATGGTATAATTACAAAATGTATACATCCGATCATGTCAAAATTCATTGATCGTCATGATAAGTTACTTAATGTTTTGGACTCCACAAGTGCATGGGGAAAACCAGTTCGGACCTCTCCTCTTACTTTCTTTCTCCATGTTATCCAAATAAATTAATATGTAAAGTAATAATTTTAAGGAGGGAGAATTAACTTAATGAAACATTTTTTAATCAGCATTTATTGACAGGCAGTGATTTTCTATAAATCAATAAATTATGCATATATTTTTACCAATTATAATAATTAATATATATATCAAGTTTAATAATTATATATCTGTCTATGAGTTAAAATGATATAAATAATATATGTACATTTATTTATTTATTTATTTATTTTTATTTTTCAGTATGACAGAAAAAGAGTTGAAAAACTTTCCAAACGATTAGTTGATCGGATAATGAGTTCATTACCGCATGTTGTTCGTAATGGAGATTCTGAACAAACATATCCAGGTAATAATTATTGTAGGCTAAAGTTATTTTTTAAAAGTGTTATTTATAGGTTAGTTAATTTCATAAACATTTAAAAATGTACTAGTGGATTGATCATTTCTTATAACTGATTATATTGATAGGTTGTGTAAATCTGTCATTTGCATACATTGAAGGTGAAAGTTTACTGATGGCTCTAAAAGATATCGCTTTATCTTCAGGAAGGTAATAATTTTTAATTTGAAAACTTAAAAGATTTTTGCCAAATGTCATTGATCCATGTGTTATAACTTGAATTATACACAGTTCAATCCAAATGTTTTTGGGCAAAATTTTTTACAGCAAATATTTTTAGCATCATTTATTGAAGCAGAATGATGCTATAAGCTAGAAACTCTCCTCAGAAGTCATACCCACTAGCATAAATATGGTTTGAGATAGATGTGAAGAATGTTGGGATAACATTCTAGGGCAAGTCCAGTTTATCAGTTTGGTAAATCCATTGACGGAAATGGCCTGAAAGATTTATAAGAGTGCTGTCTTACTGACTGAAAAAATTTTTTGATGATTTCATTTTCCAAAGTTAACACAAATTCTTGAATTATAAATTACATCTCCTGAACTCGACTGAAATATAGTAAAATTCTCATAGTCAACAACCATGTACTCTAGACTGATTTCTGGATATTAACAAATAAAATTTCAATTTAAAAAAAAATCAGTACAACATATCTCGCAGCAACTTTTTATATGCGTATGTAAAAAATTAGTATTACTATAATGAATAATATATACATCAGTATTTACTATAATGAATTTCAAGATAGAATTACTGAAACTGTGCGATTGCCAGAGAATCATGGAAGAATGCCAGAGTACATGTTGGGAAGCTAATGCAGAGTATTATAAAGATATTTTAGATTACATTATTTTGCTACTTAACCCTCTGAGGGTTATGGATTTATCCCTGAAATTTTAAGGTTCCTCAAAATGTAATGAATAAATGGTATTTTGGTAATTATATTTAAAAAACGGCTCTCTCAGTTTGTATCTTGATTTCTTTTCTTCCAATATATATCCAATCTGAAATTGGATGCATTAAAAGCTGGCAGAAATTTCATGGGTAATGAATAAGAAAGCCACCCTTCTATATGGAATATTCTTGTATTGTAGTTATGCATTTTCTTATCATGCATTGCAGTTTCTTAGCCCATTTCGTAGCAATGATTTTTCAATTTTAGGTTAAAATTCAAATTGTGAAGCTGTATTCCTAGTATTTACTATATTTATCTTCCCTAACTGTTTCTATTTATCAAAAACTGAAACTGCTGTTGAAAAGGCTGTATTTTGTCATTATTGATGACATCCAAATGGCTGTGATTACTTTAAAAGAAAATCAATACTTTGTTTGTTAATGTAGTACATTTGCTGGTATTGACAAAAGAAAGAATCTCCAACATTGTCAGAAACAGTATGTCATATTGCATAATTATACAACTGATATCTGTGCTACATTAATTTCCAATAAAAATGAGGGTGGGGTCCATATTTATTTGATCGTTGAAGTAGAGGAGTTTTTTTTATCAAACAGAAAATTTAAATCATATCTTTTAGCAGTAGTGCATATTTGGTGCTTAGTGTATTTTATATTTCGGTATTTTGAAAATGGTGTTGGGTAAAAGAAAATAGTTGCAAGTGAATTCACTAACGCTCTCCAAATTTGCTAACCGAATCACAATTTTTTGGTTGGGGTGTAGATAATTAAAAAAGTACTGTAAATACTAAATAACATCAATAATAAGATTAATTCCCTTCTTTAATAAAAGTGTATTATAAATATAATACATTTTTGCTAAAAATGTTTTTACATATGCATATAAAAAGTTGCTGTGAAATATGTTGTACTGATTTTTTTTTAATTGAAATTTTATTTATTAATATCCAGAAATCAGTGTAGAGTACATGTTTGTTGACTATGAGAATTTTACTATATTTCAGCCGAGTTCAGGAGATGTAGTTTATAATTGAAGAATTTGTGTTAACTTTGGAAAATGAAAAAGATATGAACATGTTTAAAAATCAGCTTTATCTGTTTAACTTCCATAAGTGCTTAAACTTTCATATCAAAGCTAATGTGAATGAGAGAGCTTTAAAAGAAATATTGAAAATATGAATCTACTAGCCTAAGTTATATGAGAAATTTCCCTAAGAGTTGTCTTCCACTAAAAATGGGTGGGAAAGGTTTTTGATAATTTTCATATTAAAAAAAGGATAATCGCTTAATGAAAGCATCTTATTGAATTGTGGAGAATTTATTTTGAATTTATTTTCTGATTGTTCAAATTTTTATAGAAGAAAGTTCAGAAAAAGAAAAAAAAAAAAAAAAAGTCCATCGCTTTATTTATAAGGTCCAAAATTGGCTCTGTGTATTTTTTTTATTAATATTATATATATGTTATCTCCCCATCTGTTTGTATATATGAGTACAAATAGATTTTTGTTCTTTAATGTTTTATTTTTTAGTGCTTGTACGTCAGCTTCATTAGAACCATCTTATGTTCTTAGAGCAATTGGTAGTGACGAAGATTTAGCTCATTCTTCTATCAGGTAAGTTTTTTTTAATAAGTTTTTATTTTTGAAATCATTTTTGAATTTCTTTGCAGACATGATGTATGTAAAAATTTTCAGTATATTCAGTTATATGTATTTTTTATATATATAACATTAGTTTTTATAATGTTAATTAATTATTAATTAATATTTATATGCTTATTTGATTGTTTGTGACTGTCAAAATTTTTACGTTGAATGTGAAAAAAAAATTGAAAAAATTATTAGCACTTTGTTATTTATGCACCCAACCCAGAAGAAGTATTTTCTACCCAAATTGTGATGGAAAAGGTTTATGAAATTTCTTCTAAAATATTTATTGATGTGTTACCTTTCTATTCACCTCCTCTTTCAAATCAGTCTCTGTCTCAGCTTAACACTGATCTCGACACTATTTCTATGATCGTTTTTATTAGATATTTTCTCCCTTTTTTCTGCATGCTGTTTTGATTTAACAAGAAGTATGCTCGAAACGTATTGGGTAGGTCCAAAATTCGAATCCCAGCAAGAGCATTGTGTATTTTTTCAGTTTCCTGACTTCAAAAATTGATAATTCATCACCACCAGGATTTGACAATTGTGTCCCCTCATCCCTAGTCGGCCTTTAAAAGAGGGAATGGAGTAGGTAAGGCATTTTCTCTTTCCTTTCTGCATGCCTCCATGGTGTAACTGAGATTGTGGTCAATATGTATTCTGGAGATTTGGAGTTCGAGTCCCAGTGAATGTGCTGCACATTTTTCATGTCTTCAGCATAAAAAAAAAATTATGCCTTTACAGAATGGGTCTGTTGTTATATTCTTCAGCAATATTTTAATTAGCTAAGATTCTTTTTTGACTTACGAAGCTAAATCTTTCTGTTTTAGCTTTATTTTCATTTTATTAAAAAGAGAGTCACAAGAAACTAAATCTTGTGAGTAAAAGTAGTGAAACCATACTGTCATATTACCAGAGTCCAAAAAGTGGTGCATGGCAAACATAATTATGATATAAACATAGTAGTAGTTCTCTGCATGTTCAGATCATGTGATACAGTTCATATGTACCATTAAGACAATTTGGCAACCTGAAAACTAATAACAAGCTACCATATTGATTTTAAATATTTTCCTTTAGTAGTATTTTTGTTTTAAACACATTCTCTCTAGTCTCCCTTCCCCTAAGAGATGCCTTCAGCCATTTTTGAAATAGTTAAACACAAAGTAGTGTATTATCTAGCAAAAAGTGTTGTAGTTTGTGAGTTTGTAGAGCTATTAGGTTATTTCAAAGCAGGAGATGGGAAAAAGAGCAATGCCCTCTCTGGGACTCGAACCACGGACCTCTTGAATTTTCTTCAAGCGTGCTGACCACTACACCATGAAGGCATGCTAAAAAGGCAGGAGAAATACCTTATATACCCCCCTTTTAAAGGATGACTGAGGTTTTAGGGGACTCAATTGCAAATCCTGGTGGTGAAGAATCATCATTCACCATCTTTTAGTTTGGGCGCCACTATAAAATCATTAGGTTATTTCGAAGCAGGAGATGTAAAAAATGAGCAATGCCTTCGCCAGGACTCGAAGCATGGATCTCTCAAATTAATGTTGATCATGCTGACCTCTAAACCACGAAGGCATGCTAAGAAGGCGGGAGAAATACCTTATAAGCTTCTGGGGTATTTTCATTAATTTTGCAACAAAATTTATTTGCTCGTGCTGTTTTTCCTTATCATCCAATTTTATGCTCAACAAAATTGCAAAATATCACCAAACAAGAAAACAAAAGTATTAATTAAGATGGTTTTGATACAGTAGTCTAATTTTGAGAAGTTTTACACTGTGCCTGATAGCAGAGCAATAAAAGTAGAACATCAGAGTACTAATTTTTCAATAAATCTGTTTTCAGATACTTTAGTGGTACAAAAATGAAATAAACCACAGAAAATACAGGATAAATAAACTAATGTTGGCTACTTAGCTAGAATGCTCAAAACTGATTTATTATGGTACATTTACTCTAGATCAGTGTTTTCCACCCCATCTTGTGCTAAGCTCACCTAATCCTCTAAAATTCTTATGCTCCCCCTAGCATATACATAATTTTTAATATTCAAAAATTGAAATGTTCATGAAAGAAACTTGAATAATAGATTTTAGGAAGAAATCACCAGGAAATTTTGTGAGCAAACACCGTAAGTAAACTTTCAAAACATATAATGGAGAACTAAAGTTCAAGAACAAAATAATTTTAATGAAAGGGTTCTTCATAATATTTTAAGTATTAATGATTATTTATTATTTAAATTCAGTGAGATCCTTGCGCTTGATGTTTGCTGCAAAGAGATATTATGTCAGGTTCCAGTTTAGTTAACTTCAGTCTCAAGTCTCCTTGCTTTATTATATGCAGCTGATTTTTCCCCCCTTTTGGGCAGCAAATCATTTATGGCAGTAAATTCGTATTCAGCTAAATATGAAAATGGAAATGGTAACAATAGTTCTTTTGCACATTTTGTTGCATCTGGATATTTGATTTTGCTCACAAAGCCAAATCATCTCTCCTTTTATATGAAATAAGTTTTAATTGACTCGTCATTTTGCATTTCTGCGAGTTCTTCTTGATACTGCATATTTGAAACGTCAGCCAAACCCACTTAACGTTAGCTGCATCATCCAAGTTGGGAAATCAATTTATTTCAAATAAAAAAAAAATCTTTCTTTTAAATCAGCTGATAAAATGTTCAGATGATCAACAATAACATGTATAGTGGTGACAGTCACTTCACATTTTTGGAGCCAATGAAACTTTTCAAAATTTTTGTTGTAAATATATGCCTGACATATTCAATAATAAAGGTGATGAAACCAAATATTATTTGCTCCTTGAAGTTGTTTATTTAATACATTTAGTTTCCCAAAGATATTGGCTAAATAACTCACAAATGCCTACCATCAACCGTTAACAGATTTTTCATTTGAGATTTGTCGCTTAAAAAATAACTAAGAGTATCAAATAGTTCCATAAATCTTTTCAAGCAGTTCCCTTTCGACAGCCATCTTATTTCAGTGTGAAGTATAAGTCTCATACAGACTTCATTTTGTTCTTCGCAAATTAACTTGAAGAGACGTTCACATTTGGCACTAGCTTTAATAGCATTGTTACAATTTATAACTGAATTTAGTACTTCATTTAGAACAGGCGAAAATTTTTTAGCTACCTGGTTTTCCTGTGAATAATACAATGTACAAGAAGCATTTCTGGATTCTCATCTTTTATCAGTTTTAAGGATCTCTTTTTCTTCCCCATCATGTTAGGAGCACCATCTGCAGTGCAAGATGTTATATTTTTCTTTGGCATATTTTTGACACATAAGTAATTTGAGTGCATCTAATTGGAAGATAAATGTTTCCAGAATTTTAGCTTTTTCACATTTCGCTATCTTTCTTGACAGATAACATGTTCATTTCACTTCACTCATTGGTTTCCTTTCAGGTAGCAGCAGTGACAACTTTATTTGCATATAGTTGTCACTGCTGCTACCTTTACGAAATTTCTCTGTTCTTGAAGAAGAGGGAAATATAACTAATAACTCTTGATATTGATAGAATTTTATTCAAAATCTGTGGCAATCTAAAGTTATTGGTTTGCTTAATTTCAAACTTAAACACAAGTTTAAAATAGATCTATCAGTGCCTGAGCATTAAAGTTGCTGAACACCAGGATTTGAATTTTGATTAACTGGTTGCCTGCTTGAGCACTTTCATCCCCCCCCCAATGTGTAGGATAGATACAAGCCAGTTTCTCTTAGAAAATGTTCCACAGAGTTACCCCTTCTCTTAGGCTGATAGCCCTCATGTGTAATCAAATGAACCAAACCAACCTGTTTGAAGTAAAGCCTTACTTGTGCATATTCCTGCAATTCAGTAACACTTTTTAGTAAAGAAAAATACTATAATTATGTCATTGTTTCATATTTTTATATTATAGTGTAAAGTAGCCGACAAAGTATATGAGCCATGTGTATTTTTAATAGTTTTTCCTATGGGCAATAAATTTAGACTATTTTTAATCAAGGAAAGTCCTTTATAACCCTCCTAGGCAAATAGTCATTACATAGTTTACAATAAATGAATAAACCTTTCCCTTGAATTACTTTTTGTGTTGTTAAATTGTAAAAACTTTTTTAATTGCATTATAGGTATTGTCGCATTCTCCTGTATTGGCAACTATTAAATTTGAAATATTTATAAATTTTCTTTTAGTCTATAAATTATATTTTAGGTATAAATTGTATTAGTAGTTTTTTTTTTTTTTTTCTATTCATCCTCTCAACTATCTTATAATAGGGGTGTTAAGCCCCTTAACATTTAAGTTTTTTTTAGGGGGGATAACGTTTTAGCAGTTTTATTAGTTTAGGAAGATTTACTATATAATAATAACAGCAATCATAACAGTAATTTATAAGATACAGTCAACAGTGTATTTGTTTGTACAGGTTAAGGTATTTTGATTAGAGAAATATCTTTCACTTAAAAAAAAAAAAAAAAAAAAAAAAAAAATATTATGTGCTATCGGATAAAAACCTATTTCTTATCTCAGTGTATGTGAAAATGAAAAATTTTTCAATGTGCAATCATATATACAAGAGCTACTTTTATACTAAATATAAATATTTACTTGGTAGTGCTATAAAATGCTGAAGTAGTAAAATTCAGCACCATTTAAAAATTTGAAAAATGATTGCAATTCCGTCCATAGGTTTTGGTATTAAAATATGTGGTGTGAAAGCTCTGAATAATTCTTCATTTCATTATTTATGTAGTATTTTACAATAATCTTTGATTCAGCTTTTATAACAATCAGCTTTATGTATGTCTAATTATATTGTTATGGATTTTGTATTTATTTAGTTTGCTGTTTTAATAGAATTGTTATTAAAATTGTTTTATATTCATGTGCAATGCAGTACGAGACTTATTTGAAGAGAAAGCTACACCGGAAAAATTAAATACAAGAGCACGCACATCTTAATATTTTAATAATAGATATCTCATAATTGTACTTTTTTAATATCCAGAAAAATCAAGAAAATATGAGAAGTTTCTCGTTCATATTTAAAACGCTTATAAAAGCTGGAGGAAAACATCTCAATTCAGTTGTTTAGAAAATTGTTATTGTTTATTGTAGTGGATTTGCGGTGAGATTGGATTATTCTCTACGTTTCTCTGTTTTGAATTGAGTTGTATTCAACGTTTTAGTAGTTTAGAATATAACTACTGTGAGATATTGCAATATCGTACAAATATCTCTGAAGAAATTTCAGCATTTTGTTTTATTTGTTGTGATAAGAATAAATTTTATTCACTTTAAATCGGAATTGTGCATTAAATTAATTACGAACCCTAACGCAGACAACAGTATATTAACAAGTTTTTGTAATTGCATGTAGATTTGGCATTGGTCGTTTTACTACTGAAGAGGAAGTTGACTATACCATTGAGAAATGCATATATCATACTAAAAGATTAAGAGATATGAGTCCTTTGTGGGAAATGGTACAAGAAGGAATAGATTTGAAATCTATTCAGTGGTCGCAACATTAAATGCTACATGTGGTAAGTTTTCTTACTTTCATTTGCATAAAATGGGATGTATAATCAAATCTCTGTGTAAAAATATATATTTAATGAATATGTAGATTTTTTAAAAAAATTTTAAAGAGTTTCCAGTAAATGTTTGATTTAATAACTATTTTACCTCAGTTTAATAAATTCGACCATATTTTTAATTTATTTATTTATTTATTTTGAGTTTCTTTCTAATAATTTTTCTCAAAAGAATGAGTGATTTTAAAATTGTTCATCTTTATCAAAGGTGGGTTAAAAAAATATCTGTGTACCTATATTTTGCCAACAAGTATCGCATAATGTTTCGTACAATTAAATTATTTTTCCTCTTTTTCAGCTTTTCTTAAAATTTGCTAGAGATGAGGTGATACAGAGAAAAAGGCAAATAACATTTTCACAAACTTAAATTAAAGAATGCTTAGCCCAAGAGGTATATTTAGATTGCACTTCAATCCTCAGTATTTTCCTGCTTGGTTTTCTGCATTATCATATGTTTGCCCTCTGTAAAATTTAATATCTATACCTAATTTTGCTAAAGCTGACAATAAGTGTTGTTCCAAATATGGTGTTGTTTAGAAACCTTAGATATCTTTCTTTTGCATAACCACTTGGCAATATGCATCTTATAAATAATGCCAGTTGATCAGTGAAATATTAGGTACAAGGTCGAATATAAGGTTTTAGTAAGTTGCTAATTAAAGTTATTCTGATAAATATGTTATTAAATATTTGCTGATAAATTCTCACAAACATCATCTGGCAAATAGCTTGTTTTTTCTTGACCTAAATTACTGTATTGCAAATCAGTATAGTAATTGAGGATAAGGAAAAGTAAATTGCAATTTCAAAAAACTCTCATATTCACTGAACTATTCCAAACATGCAAAATAGTTTCCTTTCTTGCTTGAGTTTTGATATACAGCATGACCTCAAACGCTAACCATAATTGACTAGATAAATTTATAGTTGAGATAATTCTTTTCAACATTTCTGTCTAATAATTTTTTCGTGTTCTACCTTTTGCAGTAAATCACAATTGATTCTGTGTAAAGCTAAAGAGCTTTTCTGCAAATGGTATATTTAAAATGTCGTATGTAAAATTAAAGGATCAAATGTATTCACGCAAAGAAACTTAAAATTTAATGTTAATTAGTCATGCTATAAGTTCAGGAAAATTTTTGTGTACTTGTTCAATATCAATTGTTGACATAGTATATGAAAGAACAGTTGCCGGTTTTGCTGCAATATTTCATAATAGAATGGAATTTTAACAAATGATTTTTTTTTTCCAATGGCAGATTGTGAACAATTACAAATGTAACCTAGTCCATTAATTCATACAAGGCCGTATGTGGTGGTCTCTTTATTATGGAGGCACCCCTAATAGGTAGGCTAACATCACCTTTCCTATGAAGGGACGGACAGTTACAACCATGCCTTCTCCGGGATTCGAACCCAGGCCCTTCAGCATCGCAGTCAGCTTCCCTGACCACTATACCGACTGGACGGAAACAAATGAAATGTTAACATTGACATATTGCTTTTACTTTAATAATAATAATAAGTGACTATATCAAAATTTACATAGTAATAGTGTATGTAATAGCAGTGTTATTTTGTTATGCAAGTGAAGGAATTTTGCAACAATGTGCTACAATTTAAATTCATCCTGTATTTAATAAATTAATCAGAATGTAAACTAAACAACACTTCATAAAACAAAACTGAGCTTCATGAAGGCGCCAATATTTTTATGAAGGTTGCCTGACTAAAGTCAATAAATTTCCGGGTTCCCATGACCATAGTGGCTCCATGATAATCCATTTGCATTTAATTTCTATTAGTGGTTGTTATAAGGATACCAGCATACTGGTTTTCCCAGGTGCCCATAATGCTGTTAAGATGGTGTTGTTTAGATATGCAAGATGCTTTATTCTGGAGCACCACTGGAAAAGTTTTTGCCTTGGTGTATGCTGAATAATCAATGCAGAAATGACATTACTGTTCTGAAATTGATTAAAGTGAAAAGCCAATAAGCTACTACTAATAGGAGAAACTAATAGACCATTAGACTACTAATAGAAGAAAATAAAAATTAAACTATTTCCTGCATGTTTACATCAATAAATACACTCTAACATAACAAAAAAAATTGATATGGTAAAAAATAGCTTTAGCAAATGAGATATCTTTGACAGAATATTATTTCAAAAAAATTGGGGTGGGAGGAATTTAAATCAGAATTAACTAATGTTCTTAAATGTAAATTATTTGACTAAATAAATAAATATTTAATATATATATCAGGAGTACAAATAAGTTTCTGCCATTTTTTATCAAAAATTGGTTATTTATTATGAAAGTAACAGTATGTTGTGTTTTATTCAAAGTATTGTCCATCGCTAGCCCACTTTTCCCCATCTTTCTAGCAGCATAAGGATACTGCATCGGAAGAACACTTCATCTTTCGAGGCTATCCACTAATCAACTCAAATTTTGATACCTTCATATGATATGAAGTGCTGCTGAGACAGGCCATGTGTTATCAGTCGAAACAAATAGTAATCAGAACGAACAATGTCTGGTGAATATAATAGGAGTAAGAATTCTCATTTGGGTGTTTTTGAGTAAGTTTTGACCGGCACGTGAACATTTCAATGAGAGTTATCTTGCAGGAGAATAATTTTGTCATGTCTGGAGTAGTAGCAGGTGCATTTTTCTTTGAGTGCTTGGCTCATTCTCATCAGTTGTGTATGTTAGAGAGCCTCAGTAATTTTATTCGGTTTGAGCAATCCATAATACATGACACCAAGTTGATCCTATGGTGATTTTTTTTTTTTTTTTCTTTCCATGAATGTTCGACTTGGCTGTCGATGATGAAGCATGGCCAGATGGTCTGCATGATTTCTTCTTTGTGTTATTGTCACGGATTCATTTTTCATCACCAGTGACTATACGAGCCAAAAACCCTTTTGTTTATTCCTGATAAGTAGCATTGTGTAAAAAATCAGCGTTCAATAGTTTTCTGCTTTAGTTCATTTGGAACCCAATTTCCTAGCTTTTCAGTCATTCCCAATAATTTTAAACGATGTGAAACTGCTTATTGAATCACTCTTAACAAGATCCATTTGCTTTGGCACAAATCTTCATCTAATAATGCTTCTGTGTCTTTGTACACTTTCATACTTCTGCTACATTCTTTGTTTTAGACTTTAAATTCACAGTTTGAAGACAGAGTCTATAAGGCACCCACTTGTTGAACTTCTTTTTTCCTGTTATTGTTGTGTTGTGAAATTGTTGAAAAGTGTACAATTAATGTTTTTGTAATCTCTTATACAATTTGTCACAAATTTGATTTGATTATGTTCTTTGATATATTCAAATTAATAGAGAAAGGATGATGGCTGTGGTGGTTTCTTTTGTAGACTTAAATCTCCTGATTGAAATTTTACAGACAACTGAGTAAATCAATAATTAGTTGTCCGTGTACCAAATATTTGTGTTTAGCTGCTGCAAAATTTCCTAATTTGAACTTGTGAAGTTATAGCAACATCAATTGCACAGTTCTATGATTAATTTATGTAAGTAGTATTCAAAGTTTAATGCTTATTGAACAAAAATACTACGGTTGCACAAGCCATGTGTGACACAACATAAAAAGTTTGCATTAACCTTAGCCATTTCATTTGCAACAACCCAATACATATGTGATTTCATATCTATTCCAGATGTTCAAAATTTTTTATGATATTTTATAAGATTTTTATTATTTACAGGTTAATACAGATCTCTCATATTATGAGGATTGACTTGGTGCACATGACTGTGATAAATTCTTTGTGAATGCCTTATGTGTTTACTCAGTTTGTATATAGTACTGCTGTTAAAAGATGCAAATAAATAACATATTGTTACATAAGTAATTCAGTTTATTTTAAAAAATTATCATACATAACTCTTGTGCATATATTAACATATTGATTATATGTACTTAACCTTTCTGTGTCTAGCATCTTTTGAACTACACTGAACCTGAATACCAGAAAATTAAATTTTGCCTTGTGAATTTATTTGAATATTTTTCATGCTTAAATATATTCAGAATGTTGAATATTTCATGTTTTTTTTAACATGTAATGGTATTTTTGGGGAAAACTTTGAACATTACAAAATGTAGGATTTCATTAGCAGCCAGTACATATTTTCCTTGCATACTTATCTTTTATTTTTGTCACACATAACACATCTTTCCTGTTTACATTTTCCCTTTTGTTGGTGGATTTGGTACAAGATAGTGTGGTATTTTTGTTGTTTTACTTTTGGAAATGTTTACACGATTTTAGTATAGCAGCTCAATTTCATCAGGGTATTAGTAAAAAAAACCACAAATATTCTTTTTGTAATTATTTTTGAATAAAACTTCACCTTATGAGCATTCTATATACAAGATAAAGGTCTTGAAAAAATAAACATAGGGGAAGAATTTTTGAAAAAAAAAAAAAGGTAAAGAACAGCTTTTTCTCCCTTACTAAAGCAGTTGTGGTTCTAAATTCTTATCTAATAGCTAAATGTTAACTGTTTCTAAGGGTTGTTGTATGCTTCTGTATGAAGAGACATTTTAAAATACTTTGCTTCTTATCAAGATATTTTTCTTTTTCCACAAATTTTGAAAATATAAATTAAAAAATATTAAACTAGCAAGCATCTAAAAATGAAAATGAAACTCACAAACAATACAATGCCAATGTGTAAAATTTTGTTCACTTGAGCTGTTATCTAGCGAGAAGAAAGAAATGAAATTACATAGCAGTCAAGTACAATTGAAGGTCCTCCAAGCATAGGTGGTACAGGCAGGTGCTTAGGGTGCCAAATGAATTTGTTTTCCACAAGCCATGATGTAAGATATATTTTATTTTGCATCAATAATGTGCTTAATTTTACGAGATACCAATTATGCCGATTATCTCGGCCACCAGGAATGTTGGAGCCTGACTTGGTATGCATGTAATAGTATTGTGTGGGCTACACATAAATGTCCTTGTTCAGAAGACGTTTTAATATAACAGCCAATTAGTAAAAAATTGTTTTACATTTTTGCAGGGATAGTTGCATACTTAATATGATCTATGGTCCCAACCGCAATGATGATTCAACCCACTGAGTATCATGAAAACATTCTTCAGACCATAATGTTGCCTCTGACAGCTTATATTTGTCTGTAAATGGTTGAGAAGAGCTTGTTCTCTGATGTGTCTCTCACCATATGCATCAGTGTTCATCAATCTGTGTATGCAGAAATGTTATATTCATCAGAGAAGACAACTTTTTGCCATTGAGTGAAGGTCCAGTGTTAATACTTTTGCACCAATTCCAAACCTAACCTCTGAACAATCATTAGCATAATTACTGTCACCATCAGTCTGCAGTACAGCCCTGTACACAGTAATGTTTGCTGTTCTATGATTTTGGACACAACTGTAACAGCACTTCAGTTCATTTGGCCAGCCAGTTACTTCACTCTAGAGTATCATTCAGCCTGAACACACCATCTCAGCCACTGCTAATCAGTTTCATATTTGGCTTGTGGTGCTTCACAGTTTCCACATTGATTGTTTTGCATAACAGTATTTTGCCATCCATGGTATACTCATCACAACAGCACACAAATTGAAGTTCCTAAAATACTGCTGCTCTTGGCTAAAAGCTAATAATTCCTTTTTGCAAATCTGATAAATCACTTTGTTTACTCATGACAACTGAAATATTTCCTGAATGTCTCTACAACACATTTTATGTATTCACAAATCTGCATATGTCATTGTTTATTTATCATTGATGTCAAATGCAGGAGATGGTCACATTAATGCGACTGATGAAATTGAGCCTGCTATACTAAAATACATAGATGGAAACACTTATTTCCAAAATATACTTATTATTTCTGTATATTGCTAATTTTATGATTTCAACTTAAAAAGAACCTCCTGCAGTGAGCCATTTGCCAGGAAATAAATCCTGAATGACCCATCAGTTATCCACTCTGGTGTGTACATACTTTCATTTAATCTGTGTCAAAATGAAATTAGATTTGGTGAGCAGTGTTCATCACAGCAATGAAAAAATTCGTATGTTAATAGCTAACACTGAAATCTACTATAGAATACATAATAATTATTCAAGATATAAAAATTAAATCATGGAAGTTTAGCTACCACTGATGAAAATGACGTCAAATTTGAAAGGAGGCGGAAAGCGTATGGCAGAAGAAAAAAATTTAGTTTCAAATTCTAGCAACAGCATTTCTCTTACAGCAGAATCATGATGAGAAATGATTTGTAAAACAACAGCTAAGGTGTAAGTTACACATTAAAATGCATTGAGTAATTTTATTTGCATGACTGTACATATCACATTAATAGGGACAAATCGGTTTTAAGAGTTTTGCGGCGACATACCGCATAAGAACCATTCATCAAAGAAGTTCGGAACTGTCGCGAGATTGGTGCAAAACAGCCCAATATGGTGTGCAACAAGCTGATAGCAACAAACAGCATGTTCCACAATGGATCGCAGTGTCTCTACTAAATTTGCAATTGGGGCATGGAACATAACATCCTTCAGATATCCCCACAGCCATAAGTCACATGGAGCAAGATCAGGCGATCGGGACGGCCAGGCTGTAGGGAAATGACGGCTGATAATTCGAGCATTTCCAAAATAGCGCCTCAGCAGCTGCTTCACGGGATGTGCAGAGAAGCGCCATCTTGCATAAAAATGATTTCATGCACACATCCACGCTGTTGGGTGAATCACGTGGTTGCGCAAAAGAGACACATACCTCTGACCAATGACGGTTGCAGTAACAGGATCAGAAGCACCCACCTGCTCGAAAAAATATGGCTGTAGGATGCCGTAAAGCCGCACCACACAATGACCTTTTCAGGATGAAGTGGTACAGGGTGCTTTGCCAGTGGATTTTATTGCCCATATTCGACAATTCTGGGTATTGACATACCGTCTCAGATGGAAATGGGTTTCATTTGTCCACAAAGTTTTCCACAGCCATTCATTATTCACTTCCATGTGAGCAAGGAATTTTAACGCAAATGTCTCCCTTGCTGCCAGGTCAGAAGCAACTCCTGCACATGGCCAATTTTGTACGAATAGCATTGCAGTATGTTTTGTACCATTTTCAGCAATGTGCTCGTAGGCCTGTCCAATGTTCGGGCAATTCCTCATGCACTGCACAGTTGCACACCACCAGCCGAAGCATCCTGTAATGCTGTGGCCACTTCTTCAACTACCGCCGAATGCACTTGTTTTCTCCCTCTACCAGAATGCATATCAAGCAAACCTGTCATTTTGAATTATTGCATCATTTTCTTTAGACTCATGACATTCATTAGACCAATGCCTTCTTTTATACCGGCCCACCGCGGCCGAGCGGTAAAGTCGCTGAACACTGGTAGTTTGGTCCGAGGTTCTAATCCTGCGAACGGGCTGGCTGCATGGTGTTTTCATGGTTTTCCTCATGTGTAACGTGTATACGAGCCAGTTTCCCTTAGAAAGGCCTCCACGAAGGCATCCCTCCTTTTAGGCAGATAGCCCTCGAGGCTTTGCCATAATTAAATAACCTAACCTAACCTAACCTTCTTTTATACCATTCAGTGTCCTGAATTTTTGCAGAGCTACTCTTGCACAATCATCATTCTCGTAATACAGCTTTACCAGCAGAGCGTGGTCCTGCAGTGAAACACCCATGACGAACATTTGAGACGCAAAATGAGGAACAGCCTTGTACCTGGCAGTTTTATAACACTGAAATTTAACTAACATTTTAATTTACATCTTCTTCCGCTTACAGCATCATCTGTTTTGCCATATGCTTTCCGCCTTCTTCAATAACATTCCTTTCAAATTTGACATCATTTTCTTCAAAGGTTCTTTTTTTATAGCGTTTTGAAACTTAAAACTTTAATTATAATCACCTTGTATAAGATAAAATACTTATTTCAAGTAAAAAGAAACAAAATAATCTGCCATCATGTTGAGGAACATTTTTATTTAATTCAGATATTTATATAGTGGTAAATTACAGACTTAATTACAGTATCACTAATTGTTCATTTTGAACTACATGTCAAGAGAAATATTGATTCATGCAATAAAAAATTATTCAGAATGTAAACTTAAAAAAGAATATATATTTAAAGTTTCCATTTTAGAACAAAATTTCTTAAGGAACTTAAACACAATCGTCTGCATTAAAATATTTTATTAAGCAAAAATTAGAATTGTAAATATTTAAAAAAAATTGTGTATGAATATATTCAATAATCCATTAGTAAATAAATTATTATGTATACATATATATCACAAAGATAATTTTAAAAATAATTTTCTTTTGAAATATACACATGTTGAGATTCCAGCATTTTATGTCATCACAAGCTAAAAATCTATGAATATTTCTATCCTCCTATGTATTATGGTATGTTAATAATTTAAGACCTTCATCAGTATCAGGAGAAACATATGTACATATAAAGACATTTTTTATACATTATCACAGCTGTAATACATTCCCATAAAGTACTAATGTTTCTCATTACATAAAAACTATTACATATATATACATAAAAGAAAATATTACCAAGCCTGAAATGACTTTTGGCAAGTAATGGGAAAAAAGTTTTCTAAACTTTAATCAGAAAATGTTTGTGTCTCCTATAAAAAGTGCATGTAAGACAAAAGAATTTTGAATTGTTTTCTAATTACATTAAACAAATTACAAAAATTCAATTTTTTCATAATACATTTAAATCAAAATGTATACATTCATTCCCTGCCAAATTAAATTTTCCTTGTTTCTTTAATAATTTTTAATATCAAAAATTATATCAGATAATATGCTTCATAAAAAAATCAATTCACCTTCACATTAAAAAAAAAATTAAAGAAATCTATGGTCTGAAATAGAAAAGATGAAATTATATATAAAGAAAGCTATTACTGAGCTTTGAATTTGATAAAAATAATCTTCAAATAGTTGAAAATACTAAAGTAAGTATAATTTTTAATTCATTACATTTGTTATGGCACTTAAAATGTGAAAATAACCAGAAATTGAAAATTAGCTTGGAATAATCTGACAATATTATTAATCAAACTGTCTCAAAGTCAAATTCAATACACTGGTATGACACAATTATGCACATGGTTAAAAATGATAATGAATAGTGAAAATATGTGATTTTTTTAAAATGAATGTAAAAGGTCAGATAAATGAGAAAATGACGCAAATAGCAAATTCTAGGAACATAACTGAAATGGCATTAGTTCATCTTTTAAAACATATCAAATATTAATCACTATAATATAGAAGTAAAACAAGTCTCTGGATTTGTACATTGGATTTAAAAATGTGTTCTAAGGGATGGAAATTCTAAATGATTCGGCTTTATTTCTCAGCTAAAGAAGTCCTCCTGCCTTAAACCTATATACAATTTCGTTAATGAACTGTAACTACAAGAGAATAATTCATCAAAAATAAATCATGGTAGCTTCTCAGAATTAGAGCTTAAAATTTAATATCATAAGATTTCACAAAGTAGAGTAATGTTCTTTTTTTTGCACAGCACATAAATTTGCTTCATGTCTCAACTACAGAATAAACAAGGATCTACCTGAATTTCTGTTATTTACTTTACAATATGAAACTGAATTAGGCTGGTCATGGGGACAAAAATATTCCAATATACACATGAAACTAATGCCCCAAAAAAGAGATAAGCATAAAATAAATTAAAAAAAAAAAGGGCCACAAAGCTCAAAATAATATGTTCTGGCTGTAAATTAAAACATCACACAGATAATTTATATTTATTTTTTGGATTATTTTAAAAGTAATTTTTATTTACAATAAAACACTTACATACTAATAAAAAATTCATCAGAAATTAATGTCAACTTATATTTAAAGCACTTGGCAAGATTATATGCACATGATTATAAACTTAATAACAAGAAGAAATAGTCTAACATCAACATTATTTAATCTAAGCAAGCTGCTCTGATATGTTAGTTCTAAAAAATTAATACTTATAACCTTTTTATTAAAATTTAATAATTTATTATTATTGCATAAAATAACTTTATGCTATTTTCTCTGAGAATATACTCCAAAATTTATAACTTCTTCAGTTCTCACATTTTGAAACTACACTATAAATTCACAATTACTGGAAAAAATGCAAGTCTCTGTTCCATAAGATGAGCTCATTTCGGTCTATATATGCCTTTATATATATAGTGTGTATATTTCCAATTCATTTTCATATACATTTAAAAAAAGAATTTATACAAGCTTAACATATCACTAATTTAAGATTAATTATCATGCTTATATAAGGCTAAAAAGTGCATTTATTCACAAATTATCTTATGCACATAGTTTGGTCATAACAGATGCAGAATCAATAAACAGTCCGATACTAAATACCTAAATTGTTCTATATATTACTGATAAAAGAGAGTATTAGCTGTACAAGATATATACTTTGAGTATGTTATTAATATGAGAAAATATACTTGATAATGAAAGATAACTAAATATGAGTAAGACATAGGGCTAAGTGGTAATGGATAAAAAATATGAAATGCTAAATTAATTCATGTAACTCCTTTTTTACATATTTCATATCTTGAAAATTACAGGGTTCTAAATGAAGAGATAGATTAAAAAGCATGTATGAGTTGTGATACTAATATTTATTGTATTCTATATTTCAGTTAGTTATAATTTATTGCCTTCAGTACTATTCTTTTTTGCCTTGTACTTTACTATCCATGCATATTCTGTGCAGAATCAGAAGTTTCTAAATCAAATATTAAAATGTTAAGAGTAGAATATGCAAGTTTTTGAGTAATTATAACACTTGAAAATATTGTTTTGCTTAATTTAATCACAAGTACTGCACAGTTAATTTTTGAATTCTGCTGCATTTGTTTTTGCATCATTACTGAAATTATATAATTTTGTTAATATTTAATCTACTGTTATCTTCTTTAATAATGTATTAAATAAAAAATACAGTAAGAAATGCACATAAGCTATATAAAACAGCAGAAAAAATTGGAAATTACATTTCCACAAATACAGAATCTATGAAACAAATTAAATATACATTATTGTACTATAATTTATTAAATAAATAACAAAAATAATTTAAATCTTTTATATTAAAAGATTCTGAAAGAGGTATATACATTATAATTTTTGTTTTATCAAAGATTCATCTCCTCATGTTATTTTTTCAAAGGACACTCCTGCATTTTCAGTGGACATTCTCGGTGTAAAACAAGTTCTAACAGTGTAGGCTGTTTATCAGTATTAATGCCTGATTGTTTTAATTCATACAATCGTTTTTCTAAACCCTTTTTATCTTTACCTACAGCCCACCACAACCTTACAGCTAACACCAACAGAGGTACAGTAAGCTCATTTCTTTCATGTTTAGCTGCAAATGTTAATGCAATTTCTGCATACTTTTGGGCTTCTGCTACATTATCTACAGCATTCAGACAAGCCACAAGAACACAGAGAGTGTAATATGTTGAAAAATGTCCTTCATCTAGAATCTTTTCTTGAACAAAATATATATTTTCCAGTAATACTGAAGAATCTTCGAACTGTCCCAATTTCATCATACTATGAGCTTCCTGTATTTCTCTGGTGTAGAGGAAATCTGCAAGTTCCAATGATTGTCGTAGCTCCCTAACAGAATAAGAAAAAGCTAGGAAGTGCTGGAAGGCAACACTTCTCTCAGTGATGACATCAGCTGTAAAGTTACCTAGAATAGCCTTTTTTGGAAAAGGAAAGTCCCCTAAGAGTGAGGGATACCTCTTCTTCAGAGTCTGAAATAAGCTCAAAAAATCAGAGTAGCGTCTTTCTAAGACACCAGGTTGTGTTTCAAGGCCAGGAGCTCTTTTTACTAAGATCGTATAACTCTGAAAAAATATTAATTATTAATTTTCAAATTAAAACTTATACAAAATAAATTAAAATTGATACAAAAATAATTTAATTGTTTTAATTAAAACAAATGATATGATTTAATATCATTGTTATCCAGTATTCTTTTAGAGAAATTATTCCAAACTATTTATACTTTCTTTTACTGTGCCTCATTTTATTTTGTTTTGCACATACTGTGCATTTTTGCACCAAAATCATACTACAGTTATTTACACATTCAGCATTTTGCCAATCACATTTACTCCTTCATATCTATCACATTCTGGTAATTCTTACAATACTTTGTTTTTATTTTTATTATAATACTAAAACTGATCCAAATTAAACATTCAAAATTTCAGTGATTAATGTTTTATTTGTTTAAGAATTTCCTAAATACTGTACTAGCCATTAAAATTGCTACACCAGGGAGGAAAGCAAATAGCAGAATATTATTCACTGTACATATACAAATTAATGGGAGAAAGACAAATTTGCAAGTAATATGGCATACACAGCATACAGAATTTAGTACACAGAGCTTCCACCTCTGGTAGCAACAATGGCTGTAATCTAAGCATCGAGTCAAACTGAGCTTGGATGACAAATACGGGTACTTCATTTTGTGCATCAGTCATAGTGGCTGGTGAATGATCGCCTGTCAGCCTCTTGGAAACCCAAACTGACATTTCACAATGGAACAGAGCTCTGGAAACCATCCTGGCTAGGGCAACAGTCAAACACCCCTGTATCGAGAAAGGTCAGGACAGCATGAGCAACATACGGTCATGCATTATCTTGTTAAAAGTAGGTAAAAAATGTAATGCTAGCTGTCCACAGTAGTGATTGCGCAAGCAAGAGATGATTGGAATGTAAGCCCATCCCATACCAGCACGCCCGGTGCCGGGCTCATGACAATAACAAATGCAAGCTAGCAATATTTGTTCCCCTTAGTGCTTCCACACAACATGGATGCTGTATGCAGAATCAGGATTCATCTGAAGAGATGACATGCTGCCATTCTTGTGTCCACTGCTGCCATCATTTGTTGCACTGCTATAGGTGTGCCTATCTCTGTTAGAGCTTCAAGGGAAGTTGCCATGCTGACAGTCAGTGGTGCTGCAGACATTGTTGCATTGTCTTGTGGACACTTATCATCCTGCACACCAGCCAAATTCCTGACTCAGGATATATGACATGAAGCATGTTTTCGAGAGAGAGATGACAACATGTCGGGCTGCTGATATCTTACATGGCATTCAGTATGGCTCTTCTGGACCCATTAATTCCATAGTCGCCTGACAGTCATGAGATCTCAACCAATACAAGCAGCAGTGTCATGGAATAATACACTGCAACCCTGATAAACCATGATCTTGCTGTGGTAAAATTCCGACATATGCTAGTAGGAGTTTCTCCTTCTTACACAAGGCATAACAACCTTTCTACATACAACCAGCATTCAAATGAGAAACCCACTGTGCAACTTGCTTTGTGCATATGTGCTGGAATTCTCATCATTTGCATATCCCAACATGAATATGTTTCATGTAAATTTGATGTCTATTACATGCTGCTTTTATGGTGTAGCAAATTTAATGGCCAGCAGTGTATATGCTAATTTACAAAAATGTTCCAATATTTTCATTGAAAAGTTCCATGTATTTATATAACATTTTTATATAAACTGCCTACTATACTGAAACAGGATTTCTAATCATCATCCCTCCAAGTAGGTAATGTGGCAGGCTAGTCATTTGTAAGTTCAAATATTCCTCCAAATCTTGCAAGTTTTATAAAGCTACCTTCCTGGGTTGAGATAGGAAAAAGCTTTGGGACACAGTTTAAAGCCACTGGACTGTGGCACCCTGGTTGAATTTCAACTTTCTGCTTAATACAGAGGTTGGATTTACTACCTCACTTGACAGGAGTAGATACAAAATGCATTGTTGTCATTTCTTGTACTACAAGTGAATACAGTTATTGAAGAGCAACAAGTTGATATTGTTATATTAAAGTTATCAAAACATAGATGTGAAATTTTTCCGAAACAGACAGAGTAAAAGATCTTAATTCTTTGAAACACTAATATTCCTTAGCAAGGGTATCTTGATTAATACTTTTTGCTGGTTGAAATTACTTTTACTCACACCCAAAATGTAGCCTAAATTTAACTATTGCTAAATTAAAATTTTAATATAATTAGTCTTAAATAAATTTTCCATTTGTAATATAAAACAATATTTTTATCACATTTTATTGCACTATTAAACTGTAAGTTTTTCTTTATTGTTGTATTTTCTCAAATAATGTAGTTTTGTAGTATAAATATCACAATGAGAACTAGATTCTTGCCTTTGACATTTCATTTTCTATTAAAATACATTAAGCATTTTTTGCTTCAACTTCCATCATTCTGTTACATAAAAAAAAAAATACTCAAATAGATAAAATTTATTAATTTTTTTAAAATTTTAAATATTGAAATATAGTATAGTGTCTATTGATATACATTTAATGTTATTACTCTTCATTTATATCTCACATGAGATTCTTCACAAAATATTAAAGAGTTGTGCTGAATTCTGCTTACATTTCTGCACACACAAATTCAAAATTTTACAGTCAAGAATATTTTATGAATAAAACATAAACGTTTCAATGACTACAGATACTCAGTGAAAAACTTCTAGTGTACTATAATGTTTTGAACAAATCCTTTTCCAATTTACAATCAGAAAACCTACTGAATCTGTTCCTAAATTCTTTCAATGTCTGCTGCTATCCAGAAGCAAGTAGTTTCCTCCAGTTGCTTGGTATATCAAAGATGAAAATGAGTTAAAAAAATGAACATAAACTAACTCCAGCTGGAAAACATGTTTTCAAACAAATTTTAGTTTTTCTGCTGCACTGAATTATCCTAATTATTATTTTTGATAAAATTTGAGATTTTGCAAAGTGTTCTACATGTAAAATACTGCATGTACCATATATGTAATGCTATTTGTTTTAATGCATGTTATTACCATATAGCTAGAAGCAATATTTTATTGCATACAATTTCACCTGGCCATCTCTTAATGCAGGAATCAGTAAAGCATTCCATTAAAATAGGTGTGTTTGGTTTTCCAAGTTTACAATATTTGCAACAGCCTGGTTATGCATAAATATGCATTTTTTTTTTTTTTTTTTTTAAATTCCCATTACCAAGACACACCTTTCCTTTACACTCATAATCTAATCCAATTAAATAATTATTAAATATAAAACCTCTTGAAAGTAAAATATATTATAATAATTATATTTCAGAAAGTTACATGATAAAAAAAGGTTCGCTGTAATTTTTCTTTGAAAATAATTTGGAACAGATCTCTCAGTATGGTTTTCTGGGAGTTTCTTCACAGATATATATTACAAAATATGGACAGTTCTGTTTCTGATTTCTTGAAAAAATTATGCAAGCAATATGTTAGTATAATCAAGAAGGAATTACTGTTATATACTTGTCAGCATAGGAAAAAATAGTAGCACAGTTGTAATTTCACTGACTATATATGTTAATGAATATTCTGCTTGTACAAAGTTTTTATTATCTATGGTAAGCCTCTCCAAAATAATTATCATATATAACACACACAGTAGAATTCTAAATGTTTAGTCATAACCCATCATATTCCAAAACTGCCCTTTTATCTATTTACAGATATATACAATAATGATAAATATACTATATATATTTTTATCATTATCACTTCCCTGAAACGAAGCCTAAAAAATTATCATTATATCATGATAATTATTTCGTTTCAGGGAAGTAATACTTTTGCATAATTTTAAACTTCTGATTCAATCCTTTTTTATGTGCATTTTATAAGACAAATTGCTTTGCCCTATGTTGCTCACTTGAGTTACACATTTACATGCTAGAAACATACATGCAGATTTTGGACTAGAAGTGCAAAAAGCACTTTGCTGGAAATATCTGGCAAAGACACAAAATGGTAAGAATACTATGTTAACCTAATATTATCAGTTATGAAAATAAGGACTTAATATTAAAATAAAAAATGAAAACTGTAAATTTATCTTATTCATAGGTAGCAAGATATTTCAAATGACAAGATGTTAAAAAGTTTTTCAAATGATAGAGAGATTGTAAGTGTTTAGATATGTCAATTTTGTCATAATTATTAATAAGAATGAATTTGTATCAGAAATGTATAACTGAATACATTTATGATACAAGTAAAGACGTAATTTGTTGAAATATAAATTATTGGTACTTTTCCATTTCGCCGGCGCAAATCTCACCAAGCGGACTTTATTGGCGACAACACACAGTATACACATAAAAAATATAGACAAATGTTAGTTCTAAGAATTTTTTTATTTTAAATGTATAAACATTTAAATGTCATTTAAAATTTTGTATAAAGCCAATCAATTTCCAAAAAGACATTAATTTAAGAATTTACTATACTTTCATGGTAAAACATCCTGATTCGCCGGTTCACATCACATGACCCCAAGTGATCTCATTTCACGTAAAGTACACTACAAAAATTTAATTCTCTCAGTAAATTATCTACATTAATTTCAAGATAAATCTTAATTTGGAATACAAGTTTAAATGCAAGAATTATTTCAGTTTGTAAAATTTCAATAGCTTAATCAGAAATTATGTAAAACCACAGTGCTTTACTTTGCTAGTGCATTCAGATTAGAATTGATGAATTTAACCTTTGCCTTTTCTATATTTTTGCCATCGGGTGAGCGGTATGATAGCATCCTAATTCACATAATTACCGCCCACGAACGCCACCAGCGGCCGAGCGGTAACGTCGCTGAACACTGGTAGTTCGGTCCGAGGTTCGAACCCCGCAAACGGGCTGGCTGCATGGGTGTTTTCGTGGTTTTCCCCATGTGTGAGCCAGTTGCCCTTATAAAGTCCTCCACAAAGGCATTTCTCCCTTAAGGCAGATATCCCTCGAGTGCTTTGCCGTAATCTAATAAACCAAACCAAATGCCCACGAATCACCTTAGGGCATAAAATTTGAACTATCTGGTAAAAATTCTATGTGATTGTATGCCAGTATTGAAAGGAACAATCAATCTGATAAGAAATGGCTGTGACTTCTTTTGAAAATGAGATGTAAAAGGTTACCAGCAAGGATATTCCATTTGGCATTGGTTGTACCATTACTGGCGACTTTATCGCCTGCGCCGGCAAAACAGAAAAGTACCAAATTATCTATAACACATCATAAGAACTCATTATAAACTGACCTCTCTTATTTCTAACTTAGTAAGAAATGTTCAGCTTTTCTTAATTCATTATTGTTCTGTAATGCTCTTAAAGCATACTGTAAAGTCAAAGTATATTGGATTTTGATTTGATGATATTTTTAGTATTAGCCATCTAAACAATTTTCCTAAAATTCACCAACAGTTTACAAATGCAACAGCAGTCTTTCCAATGAATCAAGGGAAAATTCCAGAGAAATATAATCTGGTAGGCATTAAAGAAAACAAGCATTGTGTGAACAAGAATTTAACTCACCACATATTTCTTTTTTGCATCAGTGACTGTTTTTGCAGAAACGATTTCAAATGTAACACGCTGAGATGCTCTTCTAGGCGATAATTCAGATCCAACTGAAGAACCAGAAATACCTGACCATGAACCTATTATAAATAAGATATTAAAAAGCAATGTTGTTAATCAAATGAGTCTTGCAAAAGCATATAAAGAATTTACTTTCAGAACTCTAACCCAACACATTGAATATTCATATGATGGGCTAGCTGTGCTACAGGCATTATAGATCTGTAAAACATAAATACCAAACAGCATCAATTATATGAACTCACTGGAAATGAGAAAAAATTAAATAGTCAGTTCTCATACTCTTCAAAACAGTTATTTGTGAATATCATATTATTTATTAAAACTAAATACAAATATGTTTTCAAGCATTACATTTTTTATTTTTATATTAAATTACACTTTAAAAAAAAAGAAAGAGGGGGAAATGGCAAATGTTGCTGCTGTTTAAAGTATGCAGGCTTTTCTTGATTCGTTAATCTTTCTTTCATTTTTCTGTTTCATTAAATAAAGCTTTTTTTTTTCATAACAGTATTTTGAGGTTGTTTGTGTACTACAGTAGGGAACAATTTGTAACTGTTTTTGAGTTGAATAGGCATGTTGATTTCAAAACTGTAGATAATTTTTTCCTACCACATCAAGTTTTTTTCTCTACACCTTATGTGAATGTGACCAACCTCTGCAGCATCTAAAGTGGATCACAGGAGTACTATTGCTCTCCTATTGGCTGACATAAATCAACAGGAATGATGGCTGGGTGAATGATGTTGTAGAAGACAACCAGCAACAGGTGTATAACTGTCTATACTAATTCAGTTATGCCTGAGATACTGTAGTGAAATGTTGTGTGTTGCTCTGATATAGTAAAGAACATTCCGATGTGAAGTCCAAGTTCTTGTTTGTATTGTTAAAATTGGCAGTGCTTAATTTTTATTTATATATTACATGAAACCTTTCCTTATGTCTACCTCTAATAATTCACATCTTAAGTGCTTAAACAGCCCTGATTCATTTTGTTATACATATGGAAGTTTTACCATTCCTGGTCAAAGGACAACATCAGTACATTTGTCAAGCAAGCCTATTTTAAAGTAAATACTGGCGATCAAGATAAATCATGGGCACCTCACTAAGTGTGCAAGCAGTGTGTTGAGAGTTTATGGATGTGGATGAAGGGTTCTAAATTCCCATTTGGTGTATCTATGATTTGGAAAGAGCCCAAAGATCATTCAAGTGATTGTTACTTATGTATAGTGAAAACTTCAGAATACAACAAGAAAAACAAATGTAAAATAGAGTATCCTATTTTACCATCAGGCTATACACCTAGGGCCTCACTCAGCTCAAATCCCAGTGCCAGTTTTCAAAGAATTATCCTCTTTGGAAATACAGGAATATGATTCTGTTGAATACTGAATTGACCCCAGTGCCAAAGATCTGCTCGTACGTGATTTGACGAGCATAAGATTTGGGACTATTCAAAAAAGCTTCAGAGCAGTTAGAATCAAAAAGAACAAACCTGCTTGAAAAAGGAGCTAAAGTATACTATTTTTGATAAAGAGAAAGTGTGTTCCTGCAATACTTTCGAAGTCATGACGGATTTGTGTATTGCTATGACTCAAGGGATGGTTTAACCCTTTCTGGCACGCTACCTTTCAAAGTTGGAATTTTGATATTAAAAAAAGGTAGGCAGTCTAATTAGGCCTAGAAGAGTACACAAGTAAAATTTTGTGAAGATAGCACTTATCATTTTAATTCTGTGGGAGTGGCACACTGATTGAATAGAGCTCCAAAAAGAGTGCTGAAACAAGCATTGTTGTCAATGAACTGACCGATGAGATGCGGAGAAACAAAGAATACAGACTCTCAGTTGTCCTAGATTATCGGTGAGCCTGGTCTGGGCACACTTAGCGTTCGCCATTTGATTTTAGGCAAGATTTCGAGGTAAAAATTTATAATATAGAATAAGGAGATTAGCATACAGCCAAAAAAATAACATACAAATTTCTTTTCAAACAATTTCTTTTATACCCTAAAACACATCTGGAAGATTTCATTGAAAAATGAGGGTCTTAAAAAACTAAACATGGCTAAAATATATGGACCGGTTTGTGTTAAGCTGCCATCTACTATAAATAAAGAAGGTTCAGAGTAGCCTATAAATCCTTTTTCATTCAATTTTTCTGTGCGTACAAAAGGAAATTTTTAGGTATGCCGCAAATGGTTAATGGAAGAGGTGGGAACTTTAGCCTATAACTCAATGGCGATTATTCATCAAATAGCTATAAGTGAAGCTTAAAATGTGTCCTCCTCCACAACGGAAATTTATCTGATGCAGTCCCAATAGACCAATCAGTTTGTTTGTGTGAAGAACATAAAGACATAAAAAGACTCATTGATATGTTGCGATAACCCATGCACCAATGGATCATCTGTCTTGATATTATAATAGTCTGCTTCCTTTTTACACCAGCAATGCAGCCAGCCCTATTTTTTGTGTATGTGGGTCAGCAGAGCTTGTGAAAAACATTGGATGCATTCGAATTAGCTGCCAAGATCTGACCTGAAACCTGGTGATCTACATAGCACTTAAAAACACAAAGAACATTATATTTCCACCTCTACATATAAAACTGAATCTCATGAAGCAATTTATTAAAGCTTTGGCAAATAAAGGAGACTGATTTCAAGTATCTCATTTCAGCATTTCCTAGCTTACAATTTGAAAAGATAAAGTCTGATGTGTTTGAAGGTCCACAGATTCAGCAACTCTTTAATGATGAATATTTCATCGGAACAATGATAGAACTTCAAAAGAATACTTGGTTGACATTCAAAGACTTGGACACGAGCAAAGAATTACAGTAAAATTGTTCAGCAACTTTTGAAGAGCTTCAAAGTGCTTTGTAGCAGCATGAGTATCTAATTGCATTTTTTACAGAGCCATCTTTATAACTTCCTGGAAAATCTTGAAGTAGTCAGTGATGAGCACAGTGAATGATTTCAACAAGATTTGAAGGTTATGGAGGAAAGGTACAAAGGTAGATAGATTTGTACAATGTGCAGAAAAAAAAACGGGGGGTACAGTTCTATATCTCCCATTCTAATGGGTCCATTAATGAAATTCAACTTGCATTTTCCATGTCTCGAAAATGTCTCGGACTTAGGATATATACAGTCAAAAGTCGTTAATTCGGACACCCATAATCCGGAATGATCTATAATCCGGACCTCAAAGCTACAAGCTTTCTGCGTAAGACCTTTATGGCTGCGAATATGCGTGTGCGCATGCGCATAATACGTTTACGCATGCGTGTTTAATGTATAACGGACGGTATAAGCTAAGCTAAAATTATCTAATTCAGTTAATGTTGCAGACTGCATTGTTCCTTAATCTTTGAATTGGATCCGGCTTATTATTTTTTGCAAACCGTTAGAACAATTTTATAAAAGTAAGCTTGAACTTTCAATTATGCCAAATAGAATTTCTGATATATATTTACTAATATGTAAAGGATCTACAAAACGAAAGTATGTTTTGAAGTCCATTAAACAAAAAGTGGAATTGCTGCAAAAAATGGAAAAAGTTTCTCTAACCATTTCGAAATCTGTTTCACAATTTCACGCTGCTCTGGGGGGGGGGGGGACGCCGCGGCACGCAATGAATTGGAAGTTGATCTGTCAGCACTATCCTTATCTTCAGGGCAGATGTTTTTATTTTATTTGGCTTATAATTCCTTACTAAATGTAGTATTTCATCTCAATGTACTCCATCTTTGATATGATTTAAATCAAATTCCTTGTCATTATAATTCGCTTCCGATAGTGAAGAAAGTGAGGTCTTCACTATCTAATCTTTGGATTATGGTAACTTGGCAATTTTTTTGTGAAAATTTGGTGACCAACCCTGCTAGTTTTTGTTTGGACGGCATTTTGTTTTCACGAAGTAAAGGCATGTTTTTTTTTTTTTTTTCCTTTTTTTACTCAACATTTTTTCCTGACAATCTGCTAGCCGAATTACGCTTATGCTAGAGCTTTTATGGAACAAAAGTGCTTAATCATGATGATTAGGTGCGAAATTGGGAGAAAGTGCAGAATCGCAAACTGCTTGCCGCGTTTTTAAGAATTGCACAAACACGGTATCCATGTACACGTCGACCTATTTTCACTTTAAAAAAAATCCCAGAATTGCATAAAAATGGCATTGCGCACACTCTTGACTTTATCCATGTACACTGCTAAAGTCCTAGCTAGTAACCTTTATCGCCTCACCAAAATGTCGCCAAACTACCTGTTACCATATTCCAAAGATTAGCCGAAAGTGACACAGAGGTTATTGAAAACGAAAAAATTTTGATTGACAAATTAGTCGGTATTCTCGACACAGCAGTTATAGGACTTGAACAGCAGAACTTCATAACTGAAGAAAAAATTATGTCTGTTTATAGAATTAAAGAGAAAGTATTATCACATAAAACGAAGCAACTTAAACAACTTACATTGAAAGAAATGTTTAATAAAGTAAACAAATAAATATTAAGCTTTTTTTTTTGCAAATTTTGATACCCTTTAGATCATAATTGTTCTTTATTTCATAAATTACGGTTTCATATTTTTAATTTTATAATTTCTGCATGCCATCTTACCAGATTTAAACTGATCATCTATAATCCGGAAAAATCGATAATCTGGAATCGTCGAAGTCCCGACGAATCTGGATTAACGACTTTTGATTGTATTAGATTTGTATATAGCACGTTCTAATATAGGTATTTTGACACAAAATCAGACATTTCTGAAATGACATGCCAATTGTTTTCCATATTTCGATTCTACGACTCAAATTATGCCAAACTGCTCAGTTTTGTTAAAATCGCATGAGAAGTTTTTCAAAAAACAGCACTCAAAATTTTAGCTCCTCAATGTTAATTCAGTTTAGTATATACAGTCAAAAGTCTTTAATCCAGACGTCCATAATCTGGAATGACCTATAATCCGGATCTCAAAGCTACAAACTTTCTGCACATGCGCATATGCATTTACGTATGCGCATAATACGTTTACGCATGCGCGTTTAATG